AGAGAAAAAGCGATTTACTTTCTTTTATACGAACAAATTCCATATAACTGAAAACCGAAAGATACGGAGCTAAACATTAAAAATCATCATAGACTAAGGTGGACGAATGGAGGAAAACCTACAGGGATGGTATACTAACATGTGGCTTTGTAGTACATCCCACGTCGCAACATCCAAGTAGCATTCCGTACAGTATAGGCGTATTTCTGAATTTCTCGTATTCTGAACTGCAGCATAATCTATCAAAAGATGATGTGGGGAGATGTTCACATAGAAAGCCAAAATTGTTGCAGACCGAAAAAGCAGTTTTGACGCAGCTGCACTTAAACTTACGAACACTTACAAATGTGGCTTCGAATAAAGTGGCGGAAAAGTTGTTCAAACCAGCAGAATCTTTTTGGGCACTGGCAGCAAGCACTATGGTTTGACACTATTTTCAAGCATTAAAATGAAATTTTAATGTTAATTTTCACATTAGCACAGAAATAAAACAAAGAATGCCAAAAATGGTTTTCAGATTTACTTTCTCGGTGCAGCAAAACGAAATACGTGTTTGCGAATTCCCTCCGAAAAACAGAGCAGTATTCAAGAATTTTTTGCCGGATTTTTAAAAATACGTCTGAAATGAGGTGTCAATACTTATTTTGTCCTTTAAATACATTTCTACAAGGAGCACTGACGTAAATAATCTGCTTGTTCTAATTAATTATTGCACAAATTGTGGTTGAATAAGGCAAAGCAGGAAATTATTTATTCACTTAACTCGGTTTGCTAATAATGCCATCCGAAATCCATGCATTCAAGCCTACTTTTATAAAGAAAATGGCGACCACCTTGATACCGGAGTTTTATGTGGGTCAGGAAGAGGGTACTGCTATCAAATGCTTATATACATTCAGTTTTGTTATCAGATCGAAATATAATCATTACTTTAGAGACCACTGATCGCGCACGTAGTGAGAGATTCCAATTAAAGAGACTTTAAGTTAATTTCGCTCCTCTAAATTTGTTACCTTCTACTTTGTTAAGCTCTGGGACATGCCTTCTATTAAACTATGTCATGTATCCTTGTGCTAGACAGGTCGCCAAATTAAATCGGCTATTCGGCATATTTTGTTGGAAAATATTTAATCAAAATGCAATGAAAACATAATTGTTGGGGAAAAATATCACTGCAGGCAGCAAGTTTTATGCTCTTTATTACGCAATGTCAATGACTAAAATTGTTTAACTTAATCAGGTCAGTTTTGATTTATTTGGAATTATTTAGGTTCATGCTTATTTTGAACTTTTGGTTATAGAAAAGAGAAAAATAAGTCTCTAATTAAAATAGAAGGTTCGCTTCAAAGTTATGATTAGTCCAACGTTATTTTGTCTGTTTCAAACTCATAACAATATTAATTAATCCGTCTAACTTATATCACTTTCAAAATGAACAGCAATGCTACACGCCGATAATTGGCAATGGTGGATGAATGAATTCAGTGATAATGCAAGTACTAGCGACTGCACTTGAAAATCGTACAACGTATTGTTCAGGACTACGAACTCAGTGATGGCGTGAGGGGATAGGATAATATCGAACTGACCACTGTTTGCCTCATTTTTTAAATAAAACTTGCTTTTTGCACATACCATAGTAGGATTCATTTGATTAGCTAAAAAGCCTTTCACGTAACCGGTCAGCCAATCGTTGTGATTTGCTTATGACTTTTACTTTAATGTTTACGGCACATGTATAACGCTTCTGGGAAAAATGCAATATATGCCTTTAAAAGTCCTAAATGATTTGTTGAAAAATACTCAGTTTTTATGACATGCAATTGCTTTACTATTTATCTGCCCGGAATGTCTACTATAGTAGTCTGGGTATAATGTTACCGTGGAGCACTGGAAGCTTTAGTACGAAACCGTAAATGCACACTAGTAAAAAAAACTGTAGCTTAACTTAAACGAAAATTTGATAAAGTAAATGGCTTATCAAGAAGATACCTCGAAGAGTATGCAGGCGATGCAGGAAGTGGTTCATTTATTGACGAATTCTCCTTTGCTACATTGCGTGAAGTGCTATTAGCATCTAAAAGGAGCCTTAGGTTTTCACACCATCCATTAAGGAAAATTTAGGTAATTGCAAAACAGGCGCTGCTTTTCAATAGCATATTGCTTCAATCAGACCACCAGAGGTAAATATTTTTCCCTCAAAATTTGCACCAATAGTAAAATTACTACGCTTTTTTATCAGTACTTGTCACTTTCAGTAGTAGTACTCGAAGAACAATAGTTGAGACTAATGCCCGTGGGCATGTTTTTAAATCTTGCCCGTCAAATTAAAGATTCTTGACCATTAAATCCCTTCTAAATACCTGCATTTTATGCTTGTGAATATACCTGAGAAGAATTACTCCCTAAAACTCTTAAATTTAAGAGGTT